ATATTGTTATCTAAAAATAGAAAATCTTGTGTAACCATGGTGGAAATAGCAAATTACCATGGTGGAAATAGCAATTCTCTAATAATATAGTAATACTAGAAAATCTTTAAACAGGCTAATTTTTATCAGCCTTGTTAAATGATAATTTATTTCAAAATACAATATATGAAAAAAAAAGTGTTCCGAATGCTTATCATTTTTTTTAAAAACAAAAAATTTATAATTTTTAAATTCTTCGTTATATCATGTCAGGTTTTCACATAATATTTTTTCTTATTTTTAAATTTTATTCGTATTGATTTAAAATACTCTCAAGCACATAATTAATAGGTTGAAACTCGATTTCTAATTTGTGGTAGTAGTTTAACCGGTGAGTAGTTCATTATCTCGATAAAAATAAAAACTGAAACTGCCTTTTTTTGTTATAGACTTGTTCTGATTGGCTAAAATTTGTTATCAGCATTTTGTGATATGAACCTTTAGCAAAATTACAGCAAGGATCACTTCAATTAATTGTAGTACTTTATGCACGATCTCGGTAACTAGATAATCACATTGAGAAAACCTTTAGTATCTAAGTTTAGCGATTATTTATTGGTTTAATTGATCCAAGTATTTAATATGAGCTGTTTATCTCTCATTTAGCTTCTTATCCACATTAGTCTGTATAATTATATTTACCAAGAACATTTCTAATTATGCAAATTAGTATTCTGTACGATATGGGGTGCGAAATACTCCTATTTTTAATATCTACTCTGGCATTACGTATTATTAGGTTTAGCATTAGTGGATTAGTATACCATGCTTTTTAAAGAGGTATTTTTACACTCTATACTATATACATTTAAAAATCTTTTGACATCTGTTTGTTTAAATTATATTGTCTCATATCAATATAGTTATGCTGTATTTAGTTGTATACCGATATTTATTTATCTGTAGCTATATATAACTATTCTGCGTTGAGATTATATTCATCTGTTCCTGGTTTTGTGCGACAATGTCACATAGCTACTTATGGGTATACACAAATATTGAAGAATTTCAGGCATTAATTTATAAATTTTAAGAACATTGAATTTTTTTTAAAATGATCTATAAAATTAACCAATCACAATAAAAGCCCACTATGCTGGTCACCCGGGTTTATGTAACCCAGTTCGGACCTCTAGTTTCAAGTATTTAATTGTTGAATTTTTGTTTGATTGTGCCGAGTACTAGTAGAATCAAAAAAAAAATTATAAAACATGGTTATATAGTTACTGAGAAATATTTATTTATTGTTTAAAAAAGATTTTGCTGCAGCTTCTTTTTTATTGGTACTAAAACTTTAAGCAAAGTTTTCTCAATTAATATCAAACCAACAATGAAAAAAAAAAAAAATTCATAGAATTTGGTTAGGTTTTCATCGAAAACCCTTTGCTCAAAATTTTAGTATCCATAAAAAAAAAGCTGCAGTAAAATTTTTTTTTAAACATTAAATAAATATTTCTCAGTAACTAGATAACCAAATTTGATAAATTTTTTTTTTTATTTCGATTTACAGACATGCAGAATTAAAATAAAAAAATTTTTATCGAATTTGATCATGTTTTCACTGAGAAATCTTAGTTTAAAGTTAAAAAGAAATTTATTCTTCTTCTTTTTCTTGAATTCAAAATTTTTTAAGCTTTAAACTGAAATTTCTTGATGAAGACATGATCAAATTTGATGAATTTTTTATTTTAATTCAACGTGTTTGAGAATCGAAATAAAAAAAAAATTATCAAATTTGGTTTTGTAGTTGCTGGGAAATATTTATTTATTGTGCTTTGCAAAAAGATGTGATTACAATGTCATGTGAAAATCGGAGATTCTGTAGATTTTAAGAATATTACCAATTTCAAATAAATATAAGCATAACTGATCGAAAATATGAATTTTAGACAATTTAGAATCTCAGAAAATTTCCTCGCTATAATGTTTAAAAAAATTTGCCACAGCTTTTTTTTCATAGATACTAAAATTTCAAGTGAAGGTTTTTTGATGAATATCTAACCAAATTCTATGAATTTTTTTTTTTTTTTTTTATGTTAATTTTGTAATTCTATATCTTAAAATAAAAATATTTTCTTTGTTGGTTTAATATTAATCAAGAAGCTTAAAGCTTTATTACCAATAATAAAAAAGAATCTGCGGCAAAATTTTTTTAAATAATAAATAAATCTTTCTCAGTAACTACATAACCATGTTTGATAAATTTTTTTATTTTGATTCTACAAACACAGAATTAAGAAAAAAAAAAAAAACGTCAAATTTGGTTAGATAATAGTTGAGAAATCTTGAAAAAAAGAAATTTTACTACAGCTTTTTTTGATTTTTTTTTAATTTTAAAAGGATTTTCAGAATTTTGAGAATCCTGTAAACAGTTCACCCATTACTTTTGCAGTGGTGCAGCCGGCCAAAATTTTACTAATGAAATCACAGCTGCTCTATTAATTAAAAATGTTTTCAGACCAATTTTGCTGTGAAAAGGCCAAATTTTTCTTTTTGAATTCAAAAAGCTCAAAAATTTTCAAAAAATAATCTTCGGCCAAATTATAATTTTGAAGATTATGCAAAATTGATGCCCTTACAATACAAATTCGAATATCTTCATTTAAATATATACATTGGCTAACAATCTTTCTTTATACTCACTCACTAACTTATTATAATTGTGGAGCTTGGAATTGATGAATTTCTAGCATCGGTTAACCAAAAATTAGAATATTCATTGAGTTTTTTAAAATATCAAGAATATAGATAAAAATTTACTATAGCATTAAATTTTTATCAATGACCTTGTTTTGTTTTTTTTTGTTATTTATAATAAATCAAAAAATTCATTATTAGGCCATATAAAGTTAATTAATTGTTTCTCATAACCCGACCAAGTCAGCTTTTGTAAATTTTTAATACAAAATTTTATAAGTTATTTACTATAAATACTTCTGGGCGGGTTTTTAATAAATATTTTTATATGTTTTTAATATTTTCTAGAAAAGAAAAACTATAAAATTTTTTACGATTTAAATATTAAAAGCCGGGTGGGCGGGTCACTTTTAGAATTCTATGTTATGAGAAACAATTATTTAATTTTGTGAAAAGCCTGTCAACGAAGTGACAGGGCGATCATTATTGCGAAATCAGATGACTTTATGACTAGTCAAATTACAGGTTTTTTATGTATCCTTTTGTGCTTATTTTTGACTATTGTTGTAATGTGTTTTTTTGTTATAGCTTATTGTTAGGTAAGGGATAATGGCCAAATAAGATATTTAAGGCTGGTTGTTTGGTGAAGAAGATTATCTTTTTCTTCGCTATTGCTCGTCTTGTGAAGGCTGGCTCTATCATTTGTATCATATATCATATATTATATATATTTCTTTTTGTTTTGAAAAATATAAAATAAATAAAAAAAAGTTAAATAGCTACATTTAGCTTATAGTATTATCATACATATGTAAGTGATCTGAAGTATGTCTGTGAATCATTCAATGCATGCTGAGAGTTGGACAAAGCTAACTTTGACTGAGTTGAAGGACTTGTGTGTAGCTTGTGACCTCTCCGTAGAGAGTAATAAAGAAGAGCTAGGTGAAAGACTACATGCTTATTTTGACAAGAGAAAAGATAAAGAGCCGGAGGTGCAGTTGAAAGAGAGTAATAGAGGACAAGAACCGGGGCCCAGGAATGCTTATGATAGGATAGGAGAAGTAGTAGATGTGAACTTGGATGAAGATAGAGGTGGTGAGTTTGAGAAGATTTAGATGAAGACTTCCAGGAAGTGGATAATAGGATTAGAGAGGAATTTGCAGCATATTTTAGAGGAAAAGAGAAAGTAAAGTCAGTTCTTGTTGATGTTTTTCTGACTGCTTTAAGTAGTATTAAAAGAAAGATGGATAGGAATTTCTCTGCATTGTATAAGGAGATTGAAGATGGAAATGTGTTAGATGAAGCTTGGCTGAAAGTTAAATTATCAAGACCACGTAACCAGCATAAGTACGATTTTTTGGCAAAGATTGGTAAATATTTGGATAAGGCAATCAGGGTGTTGCCAGAGTCTAATAGAAAGGAAATTGTTGGTGTGTATAAGGAAGTTGAGTCAAGGGCTATTACTCTGAGATTAGCAAATAACAGAGGATGGGGTACTGCATTGCAGATTGTAGGAAGTAATGATAAGATGATAGAGAAGTACAAGGACCATATACCTTTATTTAGCCAGGCAGAGCAATCTTCATGCTCATATGAATGGGATTATAGAAAAAAAGCTCGAAAGTATCAGCACAAAAGAAAAAGAGCATCACCTACTTCATCTGATTCAGAAAGAGATTATTACTCAT